GCTTTTATTTTGTGCTTCTGTTTCTGAGATGTGTCACTGCTACTGGCAAGTTGAACTTCACTGTAATACATTATTTTTTGCTTTATCTAAGGTGTGCAGTTACATCATACCTGCTTTGATTTTTTGGGGTCTGGGAACGCTCAACTTTTCCCCAATAGAAATTAATGGGAATTGCTTCTCTGCTTTACGAAAATTCAGTTATGAAATGTTTTGTTTCCAGCATTTATAAATTTCCAACTTATTCACAACGTACTACTCATATTTTGAAGCTTAAATGTTACATTAAGACATTGCTAGATGTTAAAACAGAGCACAATGTTCACATAAAAATCAAATATGAAATACTAAATTTACTACCAGACTCTTTTTGGCTCCAGTCTTTGCAGAATCAGCTAGCCATGATTCCATCTGCTCCACTTCCTCAGTGGTGTTTAATGGGAACTACAACCCTTCTGGCATCTCTAGAGACTCCTGACACTCTTGGTTTTCGAAGACCTTTGAGTTCAGGTTATTCAGCATTAAAATGATTTGGTTTTGTTGGTGCTTGACCTGCTCCAGAAGAGTGAGCATATGCAACTGGGCAGCTGTAATATGAAAAAAGAGTACATCAGTAGGTTAAAGTTACAAAACAAAGTGATGCAAAAATTGAGCTATCAAAAACAATAGCACTGGGGACAGAAAATGTAGTAAACTGTTCCACAGGAATATAACTGAATATAACAAATTGACAGGGATAAGACAACTGTCAAACACACCAAGAGAAATCAAACACCCTCTGTGCCATAAAATGGGTGTGGCATAAAGGACCTAATATTTGCAACACAAATAAGAGGCAAGTCTGAAGGACTATGTCAGCTGTGTAGGGGATTAAAAAACATACCTGTGCAGGGAATTTGTCCAGTTCCAGTCCTGGCCACTCTGCTAGTTGGGTGGAAAAGATGTTGACCGTCCAAAGTGGTGGTGTTCATCTCGGGGAGAGACAGCCTGTAAGTAGGCTGAGCTTTTGCTGCTACTGGAGGTGTCACCTGAGGAGTGATATTTGGTGGCGGGGGAATGGGAGGAGCCTGGGCTGAGGTACTTGGCAGGCGAAGAGCTGGAATATAGTCCCGTCGTTTCTTGTGAGGGGCTTTCATCTCAGTATCATCACTATCAAAGTCAGAATCTCCTAAATAGTGGCTGAAAGCAGAAAACACACAAATGTAAGCCACATTTTAATTAAGAATACTTTAGATACTGCAAAAAATCATTAGTAAACATTATCAAAAAATTCAGTATTATGCTATTCATTTTTGTACCTAATTACGTA